GCTAGGCACTGTGCTAAAAGCATTAAGGGTACCAAAAAAATGCAAAAGACAGTCCCTGCCTTCAAGGAGCTTACAATCTAACAGGGGAAACAACATGCATACAAAAATATTCAAAAGAAGCTGGTGTTTGTCCTTCCTTTTCCAGAAGTACCAGTGACATCATGGGTGATGTCTTAACTTGCATGTGAACTGGATTTAAGGGAGGCAGAGTTGCACAAAGTCATCAGTCTCTCTCTTCTATAGTCAAGCGGCAGAACTAAAGTCAGGAGGATAGGTGATGGCCCAGCATGCAGTGGATGATGTTGGCGTCATCCTTGTCTGAAGCTCCAAGTGCTCCACAGCACCTGCTTCAGCTGTTCTCATTGACCCATTCCACTGGGAGAAGTCCTCACATGCTTGGGGTAGACACCCCGCTAACTCCCCGATGGGCTTGAAGCCTGCAGGTCACCTTAAGTCTGCTTCAGCCCATATGCAGAGATGGTTTGAGCAGGGTGTGGCTGCTGCACACGCGACAGCTTCTTGGAGCCACAAGTGAGAGCTGGGTGACAGGTGGACACCAAGGATGGAAAGGAGCACTGAAAAGGGCTCAGCAAGCCCTCACGCCAGAAGTGCTAGTCCTCCCTGAACACCCCAACACCCCACAAAGGGAAGGGACTGGAAATAAGAGAGGTTGGGGAAGGCTTCCTGTAGAAGGTGGGGTTTTATTTGGGACTTAAAGGAAGCCAGAGAAGTCAGAAGGCAGAGATGAGGAGAGAGAGAGCGTTCCAGGCGTGGGAGACAGCCAGGGAAAATGCACAGAACGGAGAGATGAAGTGTCTTGTTTGTGGAACAGCCAGGAGGCCAGTGTCACTGGATCGAAGAATATGTGCTGGGGAGTAAGGTGTGAGGAGAAAGGAAAGGTAGGAGAGGGCAGGTTACGAAGGGCTTTGAATGCCAAACAATATTTTACATTTGATCCTGGAGGCGACAGGTAACTACTGGAGTTTACTGAGTAGGGTGGTGACATGGTCACCTGTGTTTTAGGAAAATCACTTTAGTGACTCACTGGACACAGGCAGACCCATCAGTAGGCTAATGCAACAATCCAGGTGTGAGGTGAGGAGGGCGTGCCACAGGATGGTGACAGTGTCAGAGGAGAGAAAAGGTACTGCAGAGGAGATTTACAGGCCTTGGCAAACAGATTAGTCATCAGGGTGAGGGTGAGGAGTCCAAGATGACTCCTAGCTGGGAGCCTGAGGGACAAGGAAGAGGGTGTTACCCTCTATAGTAATAGGGAAAGGGCAGGGAGGATTTAAGAGGAAAGCTCATGAGTCCTGTTTTGGACATATTGATTTTGGGATGTCTACTGGACATTAGTTTCAAATGTGTAAAGGACAGTTGAAGATGTCAGACTGGAGGTCAGCAGAGTAGACTACGGCAGATTTGAGAATCATCAGCATAGAGATGGTAATTAAATCCATGGGAACTGATGGGATCACTAAGTGAAGTAATATAGAGGGAGAAAAAAAGAGGTCCAGTATAGAACCCTGAAGGACACGTATAAGAGTGTGATCTGGAAGAGGACCTAACAAAGGAAACTGATTAGGGGCAGTCAGATAGGTAGGAGAATCAAGAGAGGGGTGTCCAGAAAATCCAGAGCAAAGAGATTATCAAGGAGGAGAGGGTGATCAACAAGTGTCAAAGGCAGCAGAGGGGTTAAAGAACATGAGGAGTAAGAAAAGACAATTAAATTTGGCAACTAAGAGTTCATGAGTAACTTTGGAGACAGCAGTTTGGGTGAAATGATAAGGTTGGAAGCCAGATTCTAAGAGGTTAAGAAGGGAGTGAGAAGAAAGACAGGGGAGACACCGATTGTAGGAGGCCTTTTTGAGGAGCTTAGCTAAAAAGGGTAGAAGAGATAGAGGACAATAGTTAGCAGGGATAGAAGGATCAAGTGAGGATTTTTTCAAGATGGGGGAGACAAGGGCATGTTTGTAGGCAGTAGGAAAGGAACCAGTAGAAATTGAAAATAAGTGAAAGAATGGGGATGACAGAGAGGACCATCTGTTGGAGGAGATGGGGTAGGATCTCTTGATCAGGTAGATGGGTCAGCCGTGGTAAGGAGTAAAGCCACCTTTTCACATGAGACATGGTAGCCCATATGTAGGCATGAAGGCAATGAATATGAGAGTGATCCAAGGCTGAGGCTTGGCTGGGCATAATTGGAGATATGATAAAGGCTCAAGAAATTCAAGATAGGAGGACAGTATAGAACTGAATTGGTTCACCAAGGAATCTAGGGGGAGAAGAGGTTAAGAGTGGCTTATGCAGGGGAGATGACCTGGAAGAGAACTGAGGAGTCAAGGGATTGGAGGTCATTGTGTGGACAAAGAGCAGGGTTTTGTAAGGGAAGGCAGAAGAAGTGAAAAGCCAATAGATTATGGTCATGGGGGGGGGTGTTCAGAATTCTTTTAGATGAAAGTGGTACATTTGTGGGTGATGGCAAGATTGAGGGTATGACCATCTTTGTGTGTGGCTCACTTGGTGTGGAGGAATAGCCCATGGGAGAAGAGTAGGTTGAGGAACTGAGTAGTTAAGACATTTGAGAGAATCAGTTGAATGCTGAATTCCCTAGAATAAAGGTAGGAATTAGAGAGCAGAAAAAAATTGTGAGCCAGGTATGAAACTCATTGAGGATGAAAGGGGAATACTTGTAAAGTCCTTCGGGACAGGTATTGTTTCTGCTGGGGGTGTGTGTGTGTGTGTGTGTGTGTGTGTGTGTGTGTGTGTGTGTGTGTGTGTGTGTGTGTGTGTGTGATCAACACTTAGTATCGTGCCTGGCCTATCTGTTATCGTTCGGTCATTTTTCAGTCATGTCTGACCCTTCATGACCCCATTTGGGATTTTCTTGGCAAAGATACTGGAGTGATTTGCCTTTTCCTCCTCCAATAGATCCCTTTTGTCAATCAGAGGTTAAGTGACTTGCCCATGTTCACACAGCCAGTAAGTGTCTGAGGCTGGATTTGAACTCAGATCTTCCTGACTCCAGGACCAGAGCTCTATCCACTGCACCACCAGCTACCTCCAGGCTGCCACACAGAAAGTTCTTAATAACTGCTTGTTGATTGATTTTGGGAGCACAGAATCCCCATCAGCAATTAAGTGGGAATCACAAAGAATTTTTCAATCCTACGTCAGATGTGATCTAGAACCAAACTTAGAATCAGCACCAGCCTGAGGCAGTCAAAAGAACAGACAACCTGGGAACTTTTAGCTGGCTTTTATTGGCTGTCCTTGCTAAGTAAGGTGCCTCATAGCCCTTACTACAGACTAAGGAGCTATCAGCTTGTTCATCAGGCAAGGTGGCACAGTGGGCCTGCAATCAGGAAGACTCAAGTTCAAATCCTACCTCAGATATTTACTAGCTGTGTGACCCTGAGCAAGTCACAACCTCTGTTTGCCTCTGTTTCCTTAATTATACAATGGAGATAATAAGAGGTTCCAATACCCTCAAAGGGGTATTGCAAGGATCAAAAGTGCAAAGCACTAAGCGCAGTACCTGGCACACAGTAAGAGATTGATAAATGCTTGTTTTATTCCTTTCTTCCTGCCTTCTTGTTAGGCAAAAGCTTTCTAAGCAAGCTGGGATACACTCCTAAAGAACTGAACTCCAGAAGATAAAAACAAAGAGAACCATAGTGATCAGTACAGATTCGAACCCAGAACAGAAACAGTAGAACTGGCAGAGAGTGCCCAGTGGTAAATGTTGACACAACATCCATCAGAGAGCAGTATGCTAATATCACCAAAGGACAATCACAGCCCTTTAGATTCAGGGGCATGAGTCACCCTCACCACATGTGTCCCCTACACAAGCAAACTCCACCCACACAGATTCCTGGTGTCACTTCATCTATGTTCACCTCAACACCTATGTCATAACTATTCCATCCATGTATGTTTTCTGGTCACGAATACCTATGTCCACCCAAGAGTTGGGATGAGACCCTTTAAAAGAGTATAATCCATGCATAGTGCTGAGGGGTGAGGAATCTTTTTCGTGTCCCTCCATTTATTGTTTTTATTAAACTGTATCAGTAGAATCTGGTGAACTGTGATTTTTTTGTTTTTTTAAACAATTGGGGTTGAGTGACTTGCCCAGGGTCACACAGCTAGTAAGTGTGTCAAGTGTTTGATCTGAGGCCAGATTTGAACTCAGGTCCTCCTGACTTTAGGGCCAGTGCTCTACCCATTGTGCCACTTAGCTGCCTGTGAACTGTGATTTTGAGGGGTTGTTGACCCACTGAGTGCCTCAAATCTGGGGTAGTTTTTCTGGAGTACTATGTATGAGAGGAGGTAGCCAGGTGCTACATATGGAAAAAACCTTAGATTTCTGAGTCCTACCCAACTCCGGTAATCCTTCACCTACTTCCTCCTGAGTTACCTGGCAAAATGCTCCTGAACTTTTCATATGTGTGTTTGCCCTAGATTAAAGGCTGATCTGAGACTGAGGCTGGGCAATCCATAGCTTCACAGATAAAGGAAACAGAGAGCAAACCAGACAACTAAGTGAGATCCAGAATGAGCGGCTGAAGTTTGGAACTGGTTGGTGCCCACCCTCTGATCTGGGACACCAAGGCAGGTCAAGGGTCCTCAGAGCCAGAAGATTTTCTAGCAGAAAGACCTAGAAAGGAAGGGATCTGGGGGGGGGGGGGGGCAGTGTCCACAGAGGCAGAAGACAAAGGTAAGACCCACAAGATCATAGGGTCACAGATCTCTATAGCTGGAAGGGACCTTAGATTTTATCAAGTACAATGGTGCTCAAACATTTTTTGCTCACACCACAGTATATTTTCCACAAGGAACTGTGGCAGGGATGGCAGAACCATGCATGACTGGTATCCCTTCAATAAGAGGGGATTTTTGTTGACTTCTTTTCATTTCAAAGTTCAACACGTCCAGAGGTTAGTGAGCATATTTAATAGGCAGGTTTGATTTTGTGAATATTATATTTACTGGTCTACATAGTATACTGGGTAAGTACAACTTATATTTAACAGATTTATTTACCAATTTTCTTTTATCTGTAATAACATCTGAAATTTGCAGCACACATAGAAAAATTCACAGCACAGTTGGGTGCCACGGCATACCATTTGAGAACCATCTCCCCTGAATTTCCCACAGATGAAGAATATGAGGGACCAGAGAAGCCCAAGGTCACAGACAGCTTAAGTGGCAAAGCCAAGATTTCAACGCAGATCCTCAGATTCCTAATCTAACACATTTCCACTTCACCCTAATATTAAGAAGAAGAAAAAAAAACCCCAACCTATATGGCGAGAATGGAAGGAGAAGCAAACTGACAGATGAGTCAGAGAATTTGGCCACATGTCCAGAGAGTGAAGATGAATATGCTCAGTCACAGCTCCTCTGGTGGTAGCAGGGAGGTGACCTGGACCCTGCACCTAACTTCCAAAGCTGACCCACGGTTTGTGGCAGTCTGAAGAGATACATCACTTTGGGACAGACCTTGGTGCATTCTTTTATTCAAACCCTCTCTGTCTCAGGGAAAGAAGGGGGGGAGGCCTGAAAGTCCCCACTTCTACTTTCACAACACGGCCTGGTCCTGTTCCCTCTCCAAGCCTCAGGGACCCAGTGGACGTCATCCCAGTGGGAATGGGTCCCACTCATCCCCACCGAGGGCTCACATTTCAAAACACACTCAGCCTGTTTGTACCATTTCCTCCCACCCGCTAGTCGCTCTCTCCCTCTTCTTCTCTCCTCCTCCTCCTCCTCCTTTTCTCCTCCTCCTCCTCCTCCTCCTCTTTCTCCTCCTCCTGTTCATCCTCTCCACATGCCTCATCTTCTGCCGTGGGCTCTGATCTGAACAGGACAGATAAAACTTCCTCTTCCTCCTCTTCTCCCTCCTCCCTGTTGTCCCGTCTAAACAGTACATATAACAGGCAGTACACCAGTATTACAAAAACGAGGACTGTAATCAAGACCTCAAAAAAGGACAAGAGCGACTCCCTGGTTTCCGAGCTGCTGGCATTTTCCCAGCTGGCATTCTCTGGAGCAGGGTCAGCAAAGGGTTCAGGTCCTGGAAAGGGGCCATCTAGAGATTGAAGATGACGGGCGTTACGGCCTCCAGCTGTGATGAAGGTAGGACCCTGCAGTCTAACAGGGGAAGTGTACAAACTAGGAGATAGGTTGTTAGCAAGTAGAGTAGGGGCTGTCTGGGGCCTCTGATATAAGGGAAGTGGCTTAGGAGAAAGGGTTCTAACCTCGAGAGGGGGGCCACTGTCCACACTGCCCCCAAAGCCCTTGGAATCACACGTGGGAGGGGCGTAGCCATCATCACAGTGACAATGCTTGAGGTTGTTGCAGACCCCTCTGCCATGACACATGGCCTCTGGCTCGCAGTCATACTGCAGCACCCGCACGTCAGAGCATGTGCGGTTGAGACAGATCTTCTGGGGGCCACACGAGGTGCCTGCCTTCACGGCCCCTCCGTCAGGGAGATCCACATCCTCAAAGAGGTCCACCCCCCAGCACCACGTGTCTTCCAGGGGGATCTGGATGAGAGTGTGGTGGTTCCTCGTTTGGGGCAACCTCGGGATGTCCTCACACAGCAGCTTCCCACACATGACATCCTCAGGCTCACACTTGACAAACGCCTTGTGTAGCCCTTTCTGGCCACTGCCACAGTTCCCAAACCTGTCCCCCTGGCTGTTCAGATGGTGGTAACAGCTCTGCCGGGCAGCTCTGGAGCCCTTGCCAAACACCTCCACACACTGGCTCTGAAGGCTCCTACACCGCCCCCGGTAGCAGTAACCTCCGCCACGCACGGGGTGCCATCTTGCTTGTAGGTGTCAGGCTGGCACCACATGGAGCTGCCGTTACAGTATTCGGGGAGGTCACACTCATCCACGCTGGGACGACAGGGCGTGGCTGCCTTCAGAAACTTGCACTCTCTGCAGCATGCTCCAAAACCACAGTCTGAGCCCTGACTCATCTGGCACGAGGGCAGGCAGCACGGGTCCTTCACACACTCATGGGGGCTGCCACAGTCACACTCTTCCCCTCCGTCTACTACGTGGTCCCCGCAGAAGGGCTTCCCCACCCGGCCCCTGGGCACCGGCTCGTCATACAGGCAGGACCCTTTGTGCTGGCGCAGGAATTCGTAGAAATCCTTGAAGCTACAGTTGCTGAAACTACTCTCAGAGCTGACAGTTCCAAGCATGATGCAGGAGGGCTGGTCAGGACACACGCAAGACGGGTGGTCATGCCTCATGCCAAGGTTATGGCCCAGCTCGTGGACCATGAGCACTGCAAAGACAGTAGCATCTTCATGACAGAAAGATTCGACTCCTGCTGAAAGCTCAGACACACAGGCCCCATTGAGAAATGCTTCCCCCGTGTACTCTCCTGGATCGTAGCCTACTATGAGATGGGCAACATCGTGCTTTGCCCGACTGACCAGCTCCTCTCCTCTCCAGTGGTTGAAATTCTGCAGCACTTCCCGCAGGTCCCCAGAAATCCCCACCTGGTCCCTCTCCGTCCAGATCTCCAAACCCACCAGGACCACCTGAACGTGGATTCCCTGGCTGTAGGTGTTAACGTGGGCAAGGGTGTCCATCACCATCTGCACTGTCTTGGTCACGTTGCTATTCCACATTTGGAACCGCCTGTTGTCAACCACGACAAACATCTCCACGTACTTGGTGTGGGACCAGAT